TGGAAAAACACGTCGTTACTCAATTTATCGGACTCATCCGGTATTCGTGAAATAAACGAGAAGCGGAGGGCAATAGAAAACGAGCGAGCGAGCGACAGGGGTAAAGGGGGGGAGAGAGAGAGAGAGAGAGAGAGGGAGAGAGAGGAATATAAAAAGAGTCCGGTGAAAGGGCTTCTCGCCCTATCTAGACGGCGCGCGTTTACTCGCGCCGATGTGCTTCGCCATGCGAATCGGAGGTCAGCTTAGAATCAATAAAGTGCACGATCCTGGCATGAAGTAAAATACACGAGCGAACGAACACGCACACACGTAAGGGTTTATGCACCGGTTTCCGTCGGCGGGCGCGACCGCATTTCCGTCGGCAATAAATAGGCGATTCCGCGGCCGAACTTGCCTCGCGGATCTCGCAAGATCCCGCGAAACTCCGCCGGATGGAGCTTTCGCGAAGAGCGCATCGCATTTTCGGCGCGAACGGTTAATTCGGCCTATGGCGACGAATCATTGCGGACATCGTTGCGGTTGTGATTAATTTACACGCGAGCGCGCGCGAGTTATACGCTCTTCAATATTTTGAGAATTAATTTACACACCGAGATTTACGTGTACACACACACACACACACACACAGACACACAGAGGTGGATCTCGTTCAAGTTGGACACGTTGGGATTATAAAACGTTATTTTGATCCGCGCCAACGGTCGTTCTAATTATTTAATGTGCTGTTATTCATCCCGATTGTTTGTTTGTTGCGATCCGCCTCTGATGAACGCGGTTCAAAGGGACTCGGTGCGCCGGAATCGTTTCGATAATACCGATGTTGAGATTAATCCTGTAAATTTATCTGTAATTCTCTCGTAAGTACAATCGTGTAAATCGTCGTGGAAAGGTACACGAAATAAGCGCCCTTTTGATCACAATTGCTCGACGTTAAATCGAGAGGTTAAATCGCGGAGAGATACGCAAAGGAAAAAGGAAAAAAAAAAGCATAGCGAACCGTCGAGTGTGCGCTCGTTCGCGAAACGAGTGTCGGGAAGAGCCTTCCGACGCGGATCTCCCCGACCGATCCGACTTTTCCTCGCACGAGCGCATCGGCGTATACATACGACGACTTTATTAATGCCCGAACGTTTACCAGCTCGAGATATTACTAGATACTTCCGGCCGGATGCATTGCGTTGTTACATACGCATCGTCATCATAAAAAATGTTGATCGTCTCAACTGTCTAATTTTCTCGCTGATTATCGCGTAACACCGGCACGAACGGAAAATGTGTGGCGCGAAAGATGCGGTCGGCGACAACAAGTCGAATGTCGAGTGAAACTGCAGGTTTTCAGCAAGAAGTAATATTTACGGGCAACCTGCAGGATGTCAATCGAGAACAACCGCTGGTAAGGATAAATTTAACGTCGAGTGAGGAAGATTAAGAGGTCGGTGGACAACGACAGGTTAATACAAAATTAAACTCTGAACAAAATTTCTCTGTTTTATATGAAAGTACACGCTCTGACCTTTCTTACTTTACGTTACATTTATTATAAAATATGTAGCTGTTCTTTCAAACGTTTCCCGACAGATTGTCCACGAGTGTTACCGTCTCTTCTTGTTAAAAATACACGCTGGACTTTCGGAGCAACTTATCGACACCGCCCCTGCATCTTCCGCGCCACACATGTTGGACGTGAAGCCATCAAACTGACACACATGGTGACTGGAGTTAACAGCTTTGGAGCACCGTCGCCGGTTTGCCGAACAATCGTGAAGCGCGAATATTTAGAATACAATGTGTATAATTGGCAATTTCCGGTGTCACCGTTTACGGAATGGAAATGCATTTAACGGAGTCCTCTGCACGATCGCGCGCGCGCACGGCGACGGGAAAGTAAGGAGCGCGGGTGGGTGGGCGAAAAAGGATATTATCCAAGGACTCAGGAGCGCGCAGGCGGACGTCTGTCCATCGGCGTTCGGATCTCCGCGGCCGCGGCGGAAAAGTCCGGCGCAGTTAAGTCCGCGCCATTGAGCCGGTAATAAGAGCCGCTGGGAAATGAGGATTACGAGAGTGCGCGCGCGGCGCGTGTGCTGAGAAACCTTTCGGTGACCGCACCGGCGCAGCGCGGCGACGTAAACACACCCGCGAGTTGCACAACGGGACGGAACGAGACGCATGACGAGTGTCGGCGCGGGTGACGTGCGCGAATCGCTCGAGAGACGACGCTCGTTTAACTCCGTCACTGGCTCATAACGTCTAATCACCGAGCTCCCTCTCCGAGTGACTTCGCTTCTCGGCTTCTGAGAAGACCATTTTTTTCTGCCGTCGTGCCGTGCCGTCGGCGATTACGCTGCGATGGCGAGCTATACACCGTGCTATTATGTCCTCCCGCCGGCGGTCGCGAATAATCTCTCCGTCTTTGTCTCTCCGTTACTCTCTCGCGATGCTCGCGAGGCGGAGCGGCAACGCTCGCGCGACGTTGAAACTTTGGGACGCCGGACCGAGCAACAAGTGCAAGTTTATCACTTACTATGAGCGGATTTTTCTCAACGACTGATGGATCAAGCTCGAGCTACTTCGGAGATGAGATGAGACGAGAAGGAGGGGACTGTGACGAGTTAAGCTCGATTTTTTCATGGAACCTTTCCCCCCCTCCCCCGTCTTCGATTCGTGCTGCCTGAAGAATATTTATTTATTTTTTTCTTAACGGAGACAATATTCCTTTGAGGGAAAATATTGGGTGAATGTAAAAGTTTTGATGAGTTCCCCGAAGATGGGTACATCGATTCAGTTTTGTGGCAGCGCTTGTACAAATATACAGATGTATAATACGACGCCGTTGGATAATAGAAAGCAATGGCGGTTATTTGGTAGAATGAATATTTTGCATCACTCTAGTAATTATCGCAGTAGCGTTTCCCACGGAATAAAAGTGGAACACGCACGCACACCGCGTGTCTCATTCGTGCGGAAAACGCAGGAGTAAATCCTTCTCTCCTCGTCATCGCGCCGCGCAGTTAAACATGCACGAGACATTTTGCAGCTCGCGACGTTGCGGCACGGCGATAATTCCGAGCGAGAACCAGCGCCATCGTAACCATTATTTTATCGCGATCCGAGAGTCGTGTTACGTAAATCACGAGACGATCCTTCGTGATCGGCCGCGCGCGCGCGAGTTTCCCGTCGCGAATTCTCCTTCCTTTTAATCACGTCGTGGAACTTTTGAGAAAATCTCCAAGTACCGTAATTAACCGTTTCCGTCTTCGTGCATCTCCGTAACCTCTCGCGCTCCCGCGAGGTTGCCTCGCGGGAGTCGGACATCATCGATCGCGTAATCGCGCGCTGAGCAAAATATCGATCATATGTTCGCGTTGCCTCTCCACCTTCTTCTCCTTCTCCTCTTCCTCTTCCTCCTTCTCATTCTACTCCGCTATCCCCCTCTTTCTCGAGCACGCGCAGGCGTTTGCCGTTCTAATTACGCGCCGCCTAATTACGCTTTGCTTTTTACGGCGGAGGAGGTGTATATGTGTGGGGATGTATGCATACACAAATTTTATATATATATATATATATATATATATATATATTAATCGCACATGCAGCATGATTTCAATCACGGATAGCGCAGAGTGATTGTTCGCGCTTAAGTCTCGCGACGCCAACGACGCCGGAAGTGCAAGGAGAATCGCAACGCAAGAATCGACCTTTCCGGTCGGCGGGAATATCGGAAAGCGCGTTTCACTTCGTGACTAGACTGAACGTATTCCACACGACGACATTCGAGCGACATACCAAGCGACCGTGAATAATATGACCACACACACAGGTGCTGGCAGCCTATTAATAACGAGTGCCATTATAGTTTTTATCTGTGATGAAGAAGATAATTAGGCGGCTTTTTATGTAAAAGACGTACTATGTATGTGTGTGCGTGTGTATCTCTTCGTGTGTAAAAGCGCGGTGGAAAAATTAGCGAGATTATTCATCGAGCGTGCCTTTCGGGCTATTTCGAGAAGAAACAGCGCGGAATTTCGCACATTCATCGAAATACGAGGTGTGTGGCGAAGCGTCTTCTTTTATATTAAGGATGCCCGAATACGTGTGTGAGAGAACCGAATGAAATCGCTCCAAGAAGGATGTTTGCCGCGAAAGAATGAGGTGATCGATATTTTCCAAAATAACGTCCCGCGATATTTTTAATAAATAATCCGGAAGCAACCGCATTTCTCCGGCTCGCGCGCGACTGGAGTTTCTTTCGCTGAGAGAGAAAAGAATGCTAAAATTTTTAAGTTCCTCCTTTGAAACTTTCAGCGACTCAGTTTCGTCGAGAGAGGTGAAATTAAAATAAAACACCGAAGCCGATTCTTATCATCTTGGTCTCGAGATTCGAAAAACTGCTTAAACCTTCAACATAGAATACCTGTACCTGTAAGATTGTTCGGCGAATTCGCAGGTACTTTTATGCAAAAGTCCAAACCGATATTTCCACACAAGTTAAGCTTAAACTTTATTTTGTCCGTTTCTCCCGATGACTCTCCGTCGTCGGAGAAACGACCAGAGAACGCATTGTTGAGTAAAGTTACGCATAACTGCGAAAGTAGCGGTTTTCAGAATTTCTCATCAAAATCCTGACGAACTCACCGAGCAGCCCAATATATTCATTGAATATGTACGTATACTTTATGTTGAAAGTTTAAATATTCGTAAATATTCAAAGACCGAAACAACAAGAACTGTGTCCAGAGCTGTATACCGGCATCCAGTACTTTTACCACAATGCCTGCAACGGCAGTGTCAAAGAGAAAGAGGAGTTTCCCGGGCGTGTGTTCGTCCGCGTATATATATTTGGTATATGTTTTAAAATGAAAATCCAGTAACGGAGTTGCCGACAGCTCTCGCGGCTAGACATCTCGCGAGGAGCGCGGCGCGGCGCGACGCGTGCCCGCGCGTTTAATTACTCCGCCGACGGAACGGCCGACGACTCTATCTAATTCTGTGCTCTATTGCAGACCTAGGGAGCCCGTTCTTCCCCGGTGGTCCTGAGTTGTGGCATCATCCGTTGGCGTACTCTACAGCCGGCGAATTACCGGGCACGCTGCAACATGCGACGCTGGTGCATCCGGCGTTACATCCTCAGGTCCCCGTACGTTCCTATCTTTGACTATCTGCAGACAAAGCTCTGGAGCCGCCGACGAGCGCCCCGATGCACGTTAGTGATACACATGATCGTTTTCATATTCGATTATTATGGTAAAAACACGCGGGAGACTCGCAAGGACTCAAGGAGCCTAGCGAGAGAGTCACCACCACCTTGGCCACCTTGGGTCCTCGACTCCTGCTTGGTTTTCATTAGTTTCTCGGACCATCGCAACTCTTCGAGTCTCTCTCTCTCTCTCTCTCTCTCTCTCTCTCTCTCTCTCTCTCTCTCGATCTATCTATCTATCTATCTATCTATCTATCTATCTATCTATCTATCTATCTATCTATCTATCTATCGATCTCGCGTATGTGTGCAGATCTTTAGATTTGCGAGGCTTCTCGCTGATTTTCGGCTAATTTCAAAGGATCGTCTCGTGAGCCTCTCTATGGTAACTTGAAAGTGTTTATGTGTGTTTTCGTTTCACGCGACTGCCACACACTTTGCACCGTGTATAATTTTCTGCTCCAATTGAATCTTTGTTCTAATAACTGCTCTAATTGAGTTTAATACTGAGCTTGATCTCAATTCTGGGGAACTATTGCGTCTTTAAATCTTCCGGGCGATTGATTCTCCATTTTTAGAGCCGTTCGAGCAAAGTCGCGCACGATTAAGTGAAGACTGAGATTTCGTTGTCTGTCCCGCGCGCGTCTAGTCGCGCGAAAGTCGACGATTCGAGGCGACGAACGTTACACTGAGAGAGGAAATAATTTTTAAAAAGTAATACTTTTCAAAAATGTTCACCTCCACCGGCGGATATTGATAACATATTTGTCAAAGTGCAAATTCTTTTATTTAAATGAAAAATGGAAAATAGAAAATGGAATAAACGGAGAATGGAAAAAACTTGAAGAAAATTGACAAAACTAAAATTGTGCTCGTTTGCAAAATATTTTGTCTCAGTGCAAAAATATGTGCATTAAATAAACACGCTGGTAGGTATCCACCGAATAAACTTTCGCATTTTCTAGATATTTTCTGACGCGCGCGCGTTAAAGCAAAAGTCCGAATATTACGCGTTCGTTCTCCGTTGCTCTATACGAATCGATATGCGCGCGCGACTCGCGCAGTCCTCGCAGAAACTGGCGTGCGCTCGGTCGTCGTGCGGACTTGCGTCACGCGAACTTCGAATCGCCGGTGTTTCGAAACTATTGCGATGCTTCCGAAGTTTGTCGCGACATGGATTAATTACGGAGACCGACGTTAATAAAACCGCGGCTTGCTTTTTCCAGCCGCACGACATCCAGCACAGTCTGACCGTCTCGTTCGCTCCGCATTTTATTTTCACATGAGCCACGAGAGAGGCAGAGAGAGAGAGAGAGAGAGAGAGAGAGAGAGAGAGAGAGAGAGAGATTGAGAGAGAGAGAGAGAGAGAGAGAGAGAGAGAGAAAAGAGCGTTTAAAATTTTGTCGTGGATTTTTCGTGGATTTATCATGATGATATCTATAGTTAAAAGACAGTTACCTCTCGTCATTGTTAATGAAAACGAATGAAGAGCGAGACGTGTCCGTAAATAAATTGATAAGCTGCACATTAGATAATTAGCGGCGGTAATGTAGAAACGCGTGAAGAATTACACCGAGGGATATGTACACGTCTCTCTTTCTCTGTTCCCTTCTGCTTTCTTTCCTCCACTCGAAGAGACGACGACGAGCAAAGACGGCTTGGTTATTTATTACAAAGTTGCATCTCGCGTTTCCGCATCGGGGTTGTTGTAATTCCTTTTTTACTTATGCGCTTCACATCCGGCGCGCGACAAGACAAACGGTGAAGCATTTTGAACGCCGAAGAATCTCGCGGGGATTTTCGCGAGGTTCCCGAGCATTCTCCTAGCGTTTTGCAGCGAAATTCCACAGTCGCTCGGATTCGAGTAATTTTTCACTCGTAATTGAAGAGTGGATCTGACGCACTTCACCGCCGCCACAGGGACGTATTCGCTATGATCGATCGAAACATTCGCTCATACGGATGTCGGAATCCAATCTAAGCTTGAGCGAAACACTCACTCCTGCAATTTCGAACGGCGATATTTCCACTGTAGCTTCGAGTGCAAATACCCGCCACTTTCCCCGCGCGTTTCGAGCGCGATTCCGCCCCGCGAGAGAGACTCAAAGAGTAAACAGACATGTTTTACTTATCGACAGGTACGAGAGGTAAGGCTAACGAGAGAGCGTGCGAACGCGTTTACTCGCTCGAAGAATCGGAAAAGTTTCTGGCTGCGAGTGTACCCTCCAACCCCTTTAAGGTATCGGTGGTACGAACGGGCACCGATTCGCTCGGCACGGCTCTATTGATTTTTAATATCGCATAGGCTTGTGCCAGGTTCACACGGGTACCCGTCACGCGTTATGTAGCAGGGCCATAACTTGGTCGCGAACACCTCACTACCGATTTCGATGAGGATAAATAGCGGCGGCAGCGGCGCGACGCTGTGGTCACGAACGCGAACGCCGATACAATCTGTGTAGCCGCATCGATCCCGCACAACGGTATATTACGCGTAAATGTCTTTTGCGCTGCGTCTGATAGCGGGTCAATATCATTCCGCCGCGCCGTCACCGCGCGACTCGTGGAGTAATCGCGAATGCGAGGATCGCGGGATCGCGATAAGACGCCCTGCGCGAGTGTTATTTTCGTGTCGTTCCGGGCCGGGCTTTTTTTTTCTTATTGATTCCGAGACTTTCGGCTTTTCTCGTTGGATTCGCAGATTCGTCGGTACCTCTCTCCGAGCGGTATCTCTCCGTTTTTACCTGAACTTCCTGCGCGACGTACAACGTTTCGTTATCGTGAGTTATTACAATTGTTACTCGTTATTATGATTATTTATTGCCGCTTATCGCTTGTGCTTGTGATTACTGTTGATGCAACTGAAATTATGTATTGTTCTTCGTTATGCAAGTAGCTGTCTTCATTTTATTCCGTCTTCATTTTTGCCTTGTACGAATAGCTGTCTTGGTTATCACGGGTAATCATCTCAATTATTGGGTTGCCGCTGAATTTCGTAATGTTTGCTTCCTGACGGAAGTTTGTGTTTCCGAGAAAAAAAAAGGGAATTTTTGTAATGTTTTTGTACGTCATTTTAAATCTCCGAGAGAGCAAGAGGGCTTTAAAACGTTATAAAAATTTCTTTTTTTCCTAGACAAACTTCCGTCGGAGAGTACACACACTGCGAAATTATGCGCCAATTTGGTTTACCGTGAGTAACTTATCGTGTTTTTCTCGTACCGGTAAGTAAGCGAATTCTCGGGTCTCCTGCGAGATCTCCTGCATCGAATTGCGTTCGTCCCGAGTCTGCTCTTTAAAAATCGTCGATTACACCGGGGCAAACATTCTTAGCTATACATGAGCTATATATGAGCAGCGGGAAATTTTTATCGCCCGATTATCGGAACGTTCGATACACTCACGAATCTACGGCGGGGTCTCCTCGCTACCTCGCGGTCGATGCCGGCGCCTATAAATCTCCGCGGGAATGCCCCGTGGTGCCAAGGAGCGCAGCCGGTTTTCGCGCGCGAGAGATAAATCGTGACCCTAAAGGCGAGTCCCGCCAGCGCCGATATTCGGACGTACGGCGTCGTTATTTCGGCGGGGATATCGGCGAGCGTCGAGCGAGAGGAAAATTCAAAAGAACCGCGCGGCGCGGCGGGGAGGAGATACGTCCGGGAATGATTGGGCTCTCTCGCGGTAAGCCAATTTCGCGGCTCGCGCGAAATCTCGAGCGCGAAATCATCCCTATTACTAAAATCGAGAGGATATTCTTGATATTCCGCGCGCGCGGCCCGAGGCGCCGAGCGGACGAGCGGAGAGGAGCGAGCGAGAGGGAATCCGTAGCATCGAACGTTTGATAAATCGAAGGCTCTCCAGCCGGGATTGCCACTGTTATCTCCTTTTTCCCCGTACGCATCTCTCTCGCCGTTCCTTTAACGGAAATAAAAGGGGAGCGGAGTGCGCCTCGGTACCTCGAGGTATCCACTCGACGGATAACGAGCCGAGGAGAGCCGGTAAAGCAATAACGTCGCGGCTTATTAAGTCGAATATCCTACTCGAGGTCCGAGTCGATTAAACGCGCTCTCGAGCTCGACTCGGATTCGAGTCGAGACCTGTCGTCGAGCTTTGCCGAGCTAATGAGTAACCGTCGATGGCACAAATAACTCGCGGTTCCTCCGTCCTCCGTCGCGTTGCAATGTATCCGCCGCGTGTTTGCGCGCAGCGCAACCTGAAGGATCCGCCGCGTAGTCTCGCGACCGCGTCACGCAAATCGCCGCGACAACGTGGTCAACCGCGTAATGGAACATTCTATTTCAAGTCTATTAATAGAACGCATTATAAGAGTACGCGGAGGTGCGTGCTTTTACAAATACGACTGATCGGTACGCAAGACGAGTCTCCGAGACGTCAATACTGAAAAACACCGAGTTATTTCTCCTATTAAATAACACCTTCTATTAAATAACATTATCGTCCGCGGCGACGTAATGCCACCTGAGGTCACCGCGTCCGAAGGAAGCGTCGTCGTTTCAACGTCGAGGCGAATGAAGATCGAGAATACGTCGTCCGTCTTGCTCTGCGTACAAATCGCGCTCGCGAGAACGAGAGAGAGAGAGAGAGAGAGAGAGAGAGAGAGAGTGTCTCAAGGACCGCGTCGCGCGAATCCGACGGAGAACGTCCTTCGGATCGAACGACATTCTCTCCGGACGTCTTTCGGCGTGTTTTCGCGCACGTCGACGTGCGACGCGATGAATGCATCGACGTAGATGCATTCTCTTTAAGTTTCCCGGAGTGAGCTCGCAGTGAGGGACCAGTGAGGATTCGCTCGAAGCGACAGCGAAGATGCCGCCGCGGCCGCCCGGAATCACAAGGGAAGCGAATGTTTCACTCGAACCGCGGAATGGATTCTCCATCCACACGAGTGCGCGTTTCGCTCGATTACGGTGAATTTGTCCCAGTCAGACGGCGGCGGGAAATTGTTGCGCTCTTACCTCGCTGAACTTCAAAGTAGGAAAACTTATCCCCCCGAGACTCGCTAAACAATCAATTCTCCTGTTGAACGCGAGTGGTGCGTGCACCGGGAAAACGCGTTGCAGTTTTCCCATCACCGGCCCTACTAAAGGATCCTAAGTCAGATTCACCCTTCGGTTTCGAGCGGATATTTTCGCTCTGCGTAACGCGAGCCAGCTACTTACGACGCAGCCAACATTGATATTCCCGCACACTTTATCTAATTATTTCTACCGACCATCTACCGACCTTCTTTTCATTTAACAAAAATAACAGTTTTTTATTTTCTTCTTTACTATATTTCTCTCTGGCTCAGGCATGAAATCAATTGCTAGCTGTTGCCTCGTCCTTCGAGCATGTCCTATGTCACAATTATGCTAATAATAATATCAGTGAAAAAGTCATCCAACACTTGTCGGCTGTCGCGCGAGCGGAGTTTTGCTCACGGAAATTCAGAGAGTATTCGTCCGTCCGATTCGGCGGATCGGTCGGCTGACCTTTAGCGAGTGGCTGAAAAACACGATATTTTGTTCGTTTCTTTTTATTTTTTTTTTGTTTTTCAAAGGGACCAATGTGATGTCGGGGTAGGTTCGTGACGCGCGAATGCGTCGGTCTATCGCACTCGCAGATAGACCGACCGACCGATGAAGCGGGTCGAGTGATGACGAGGATGTATTTATATTTCCAGGCGCCTATGTCCCTGCCGCATCCTACGACGCTGACGTCGATACACGCGTCGCTGCCTCATTTTCTACCGTCGCCGGCACTGGCGTCACCGGTCGGGTCACCCTCGTCGCAGCCCAACATAGCCGGCAACGCGCAGTGCTCCACCCTCTTCGTGGCGAACCTGGGCCAGTTCGTGTCCGAGCATGAGCTAAAGGACATCTTCAGCAGGTCAGACATCCCGCAGCATCCCGCGACGCGCCGCGATACCCGGCACTCGCCGACCGATCGAGTTTTAATCCGACGCGCGGCTCATTATCGACGACTCCGGGTGTATCTTTAATCGTATGCGAATCTCGCGCGAGCGCGCGCAGCCCACTTACGCGCGTGATTATTCGAGATTTTAAGGACAGTCGCGCCGCAGGACGCAGCCAGCGTGCTGCCTTCTTCACCCATGTCGACGGCGATGTAGGTTCAATCGTCGTCGCAGGATCAATTGTCAGAAATAGCGTACGCGAGTCGCAAAGTGTGTCTAACTTCGCGACGAAGGTGTGTCTAACTGCGCTCGTCTTTGCCTTCATGTCTCCGTTACTGACATCGCGACCACGGCGAAGGCGTCTTTTATCTTTGGTTTATAATCTTTACACAGGTATATATAACGTCAACAAATAATATTTCACAAAGCTGATCTTTATCGAGGAGGAGGAAGCGTGTAAAGAACAGAATTGCTTTGGCAGTTTTAACATCTCTGTGATAAGAAGAAGAAAATCACGTGTACAGCAGTGTGCGTAACTCTGGTCTACGAGATATATTCCAAGTTTTTCTAACGCATTTGGAGAGAGATCGCGCATTCGTCGTAATCGGCCGACTGATGCGTTGTTTAAACGAAAAGACAGATTATTACGAGCATTATGATAACAACGACGGTGATGGTTGCCTCGATAAGTCGAACGCGCGTTTACGCCTGCGTTTGTGCGTGCCTGCAAGCGATGTATACAGGTAGCCCACGTAAGGCTCAACAACTGGTCTACCAGAGACTCGCAAGAATATATATACATATATAATTATTAATTATACGAATTTCATTGGACATGCGTAAATATTTTTACACAGACGAATCATTTCCTGAATCATTGAGTAAGTAAGGTAAAAGTATCAATGATGGGACACGTGCCTATAACTCTGAACATTAATCTTTTATGAATATTTACGAAATTATAATATGAAATATACTTGTGTGTGTGTGTGTGTGTGTGTGTGTGTGCGCGCGCGCGCTCATGTTTTAACTACAAACTTTTAAACATTTAAGCATTCAACTTGATATCTACGTATACATATTCTATGTGTGTTGAAAATTTAAATATCCGAATGTACGGACCGAAATAATTGTCCAGAGTTATTACGTCATCGCGGCATTGGTACTTTTACCTCACGTACACGTTTTTCGCTCAAATTTGACCCAAAATGTTTTCCACTCGAAAATAACACGCAAAAGGTCCGAGCAATAGCGCGGCTGTTTGGAATTTTAAAGTTACCCGCGCCCTACCTATCAAAGGGGATGAATGAGGGTAAGTCTTGAAACAGATTTAAGGACCTTCGGGATCTATAAAATTCGGGAGTAGAACGATTAAAATTGATCGTGCAGTTGAGCCTTACATGGGCCACCCAGTGTATGCAATTTACGATACGGGGGCCGATACGCGTGGATCTTATCGTACGCGTCACGTAGTAGCGATACCGTCGCGGTGCGTTTACGGTTTCTAGCGAAAACTGGCGTGGTTTAAAGCGGGGAAAGGAACGTCTGATATTGTCGGCCGCTTCGTTGGTGAACTGATCTCCGGAGTCGTTTGGATTTCTCGATTTTCCATCGCGTAACGGAAAGTCCAAAGATCCTTCGATCCTTGAACCTTCGACCGCGCGGATCGAGTCGAGTCATTGCGTCTATAAAACTACGCCCATATTTCTTGTATCTCTCGATATTTCTCTCGCGACTCTTTCTGTATCGCGAGACGCTCGTTTGCAAATTACATTACCGCTCCAAAGTTCGAAGCGTCCTGTAGTTTTGTGACGAATTGTTATTCAGCCGCAGTTCCAAAATTACTCGCAACCTACAGGCCACGTTAGTCAAATTTTAACTCTCGGCCCGATCCGGATGGAATTTTATCGATTCGATTCGACGCAGAAAATTCTCCGATCGTACAGAAACAGTTGCCAGTAAGGTGGCCCGAACTTTCAGGCGGTCGCATGCACAATCGTGGATACAGAAAGCCGTTGCCCCCTTCTATTCTTCGCGTGAGTTGCGGAGCGCATCCGTCTTGTCCAACGGGACAGTTTGTTTTCCAGCGGGACGATTCTTCCGTCGGACAAGACGGATGCATTCCGAAACTCCTGCAAAATACAGCGGGCGACCTTACCGTCCACGGTAGTACGTCGGTTCGCGGGTTAAGTCGCGTAAACACCGCGTCGCAGGTGGAAATCTCGCGGAAGGCCTGTGTGGCGTGGAAGTTACGCAATGACTCTGGCGCAAGGATCGCGACTCGCGTGTCCAAGGATTCTCCTACATCCGTCGTGCAAAGAACGTAATCGCGAAGTTCGAGATCGAGTCGATAACGCGCGTTCTTATCGGTCTCCGCGGATATATTTCTACGACACGTGTGCGCGCACACATCGATGTATCGCACCACCGACGAGGTATTCTTGAAGACCGTCAGCCGTAAGGAAATTTCCGTGACTGCGGAAGAAGCTCGAAAGCTTCGGAGATGAAGAAGTTGAAGAACAATCGGTGTTATCGGTTATTTTTGGACATACCATATTTTTCGAGAATAATGAGCATCAATTTTGTAATGATTACGATTACCTCGATATTTCGTCGGATATGCATACAGACTCGTAATGTAGTGTATATGAGATATTTTAACAAATAAAATTTTGACAGTAATTTTAATAAGTGGATGAATATGGACATAAATCCACTTTGCACAACTGCGTTTTCACAATTATCATCACCTACACTCTACAGCGATTGACGCAAAGTTTATCGACGGGAATTGAAGGGAACAATGAAATTTCTCATGCGCGCTGAACCCCGCAGCAGGGCCGAATGATCTTCACTCTTACCTCGTCGATGTTTATTGTGCTCATTAGCATACGCTGTTAATTATCGCGTCGACCGCGATCGTGCGACTGGCACACCCACCCCCACACACACACACACACACACACACACACACACACACACACACACACACACACACACACACACACACACGCACACGCACACGCACACGCACACGCACACGCACACACACGCACACACACACACACACACACACGTACACATACACGTGCGCGCGCGGGTCAGAGGGAATGCGAAACGCAAAATCGGCATCATATGCAGCGGCGAGAGATTGCTAATTGCAAGAGAGAAAGAGGGGGAGAAAGATAGAAAGAGAAACTCGCAATTAGAACGCGCGCGAGCGAGCGAGTAGTCCGACAAACGACGGAGTTAAAATATGTTATCCGGCCGTGCATTACGGTTGCGTCCGTTTAATAAATTATTTCCACCTGCCCCGCCATGCGGAACCTTCCCACGATCTTGAAGTACGCCTCGGGTTACGACGCCTCGGTTCGGCGCCGGCCGCGCGTCTTGAATCATTGCTCCGGGAATTGCGGCCGACTCCTTTCGATATCAGACGTCCATGTTGAATCGGCTTCACTGCTTATCCGCCTCGTTTCTCGTGTGTATGTGTCTGTGTATACGTGCGTGCGTATCTGTACGCGGGAATTATTACGGAGCTAGGAGAAAACAAAGCAGGAGAATACAAGCGAGGGAAAAAGAATCAATCCGGTGAGAAGAAATATTCGTTAACGCGGCGATTAATGACGCGAATCTCGCGATCACTCGTTTCGTCTAATAATTCCCTCGGCGCGCCCTGGGCAAGAGGACGTGGGTGGGAGGCGGCGGCGGGGGGAGGGAGGGAGGGAGGGAGAGAACCCAGTGAATTAATTTGGAGAAACTGCTCCGTGGAATTATATTATACGCGCGGCACTGTTTGAGTATTTCCGGTGGCGCGCGATTGATCGTCGGGAGTAGTCGCTTCGGCGTTTCTCGTGTTTCTCGACTGCTACAGTCATCAGTCTGATTATTTGGACGTTGAAGTGAGCCTTGAATTTGCCGGACTCGGCTACGACGGAGAAACGCGCGTGTCTAGTCGGTTTGCACAGAATGGTTCAGACACATTTTTTCTAACGAGGTCAGGAGTGCCTTCTACGTTCTCTCTCTCTCTCTCTCTCTCTCTCTCTCTCTCTCTCTCTCTCTCTCTCAACGTTAGAATTAGCGCGACCTGTTTCTACCGGAGCGCCCGAGAAATGAGAGGTTTTTCAAAAAAATACCTTACGCGAAGGCAAAAGTGTTTGTTTGTTCTTTTTTTCAGTCTCTCATTCGACGTCCGCCAGTGATATAAAATGCACCGTTACGTAGAAATTTGAGAAACTTTCATAGGTAATTACGAAGTAGTTATTTTCGACTTGGTGCATAGTTTTAGTGTTAAAGTTGAGTTAAATCGACTCACGCTGCAACTGGCAACCGGCTGTTCGCTATTCGCTTCGCGACTACTCGGGCACGTTCGAAGATGTCGAAATTCGAGGATTCAAGGTCATTCACGACGGGGAGATAAAAAATTGACGAGGTTTCGGGCGATCTAAAAATATACGCGGTTAATGATATAACTTTCTCTCTCTCTCTCTCTCTCTCTCTCTTTCTCTGCTAATATATGACAGTCTGCGAGAATCGTAAAATTTTTTATAAAACAAGCGCAGGTCGCGAAATGCGGTTTTAAAATAAGACGCGAGTCTCGCACATATCGCGCACATGGTGAAAGGGGTTTCAGTGAAGTTTCATCCAATTACAGAGACCACTTAGTCGCGCGACGAGAACTTCTTCTCTCTCCGAATTTAACGCGTTGGCTGTTGCGATCACTAGATTTCTCATTTTCAAACTCGTCGTACGCCGTCGATGGTACTCGCGTGGAAACACCCCCCGAACCGTAGTCGACATTTCAATTCTCCTCAAGCTCTCGTGGAGAGTCAATTTTGCGCTGATGTGTATTTAGCGAAATGGATCCTTGTTCAATTTTAATGCGACGAACTCTGACGATGCCTCGCTCGGAGATACGTATTTTCCTGCACTCTTTCGGAGTGTCTCATGACGTATATACGCACCACGTCGTGTACGAAGTAGTGTGCACGAAGCGATTATTTAATTAAGTTTCGCTAGAATCTCCGTCCACGTAAGAATTGTTACGTTGGTAACACGTTGATAACGATCCGCTCGACGCGCGACGCGCAAACAGCGAGCTCTACTACTTCACTACTCTTTCGAGTTTCGGCGTTGACGGAAGTCTGTGAGCGACTGTCTAGCTAGTTCCGTCGCCAATAGAGAAACCCTTCTACCCCTCGTATAATTAGCCCACGAAATCTCATTATCCCGCAAACCCCGGAGTTCTGCAGTATGAATTCGCAAGTGGGTGCCTGAGTTAATTACACGCGTTTGCACGTGCGAGAGGCACGCCGCGCATTCTGCAATTTTCGGTAGCTCACGGGAGAGTATCCGACGGAATTTTGTCGTCGTTGTCGTTGTCGTCGTCGTCGTTATCGTCATCGTCGTCGTCGTCGTCGTCGTCGCCGCCGCCGCCGCCGCCGCCGTCACCGACGACGACACGACGACAACGACGACGACGTGTGTGAGTACATTGCGCTCGCCGCGTATAATTTAACCATTGTTCTTGCACGGGTAATTATTACGCGTTGGTAGGTTTAAGCGAGGATACGTTTGTCAAAACAGCAAGAGGAAAAACAAGCAAGAGAAGATTTTTCCACTTCCTCGATGCCGCAGCAAGTTTTCACGCAGCGCTGCGTCGCAGAAGGTACAGCGAGAATATTATTTGTTGATATCTCACGCGCGCGAGCGCGTCATTTATCCAGAGTGACGGAAGTGCCGGAAGTGCCGGAAGTGAACTAACGCGTTTGGAAACGCGCGCGCGCGCGACTTTATTTCATCCAGTTTCGCGTTTCGGGGTTCTTAATATCGAGGTTCGGCGCGGCAGTGAAGCTTTACAAATGCGCGGATCACTCGTGAGTTTAGTAAGTCAAACGATTAACGATCCGCGGCGGGGAATAACCGAGAGCAGAGTTTGAGAATTGAGAGTCTCTCTTGTTGCGGGATATATCATTAGCATACTTCAGAAGCCCCAAACCCGATTAATTAACGTTTCACTACCGGTGTAATCTTTTGTCTTAATTCCCTTTAAAGGTACACCCTTTAAAGGTACACCTTTTAAAGGTACACCTTTTAAAGGTACACCCGAACTGATACTCCACGTTAATAGAGAAATATATACCGAGTGATTCATTCTGTATATATTTCAAAAGCCCGCTTGAAATATCTCGGAAGGAATTTATTACACGAAGAAATGTTTCGGACAAAAGTTGTTCCAAGAGGACGATCAAACAACGAACGTTTGACGCAGCCTCCTGTCTGAGGCATTTTGTCGAACGAAAAAAACATTTCTTCCGGGATACTTTAAACGGTCATTTGAAACATCTCATTAACGATAACTGGATTCGTCTACATGGAAAGTTATCGAAACCACCCATCTAAATTTAATTCCACTTGGTTTGTCTAAACTGTTTAAAAGTTAGCGATTTCGCAATCAATCATCAAGTATGAGTTTCGAGAGTGATCTCCGAGTCGATGGGAGTCACTAATTTGTGCGAGCGCATCGGCTCGCACACTATATGCGTATTCACAGATATCCGTGCGCACATGTGAGTGAGTGAGTGAGTGAGTGTGTATGTGTGTGTGTGTGTATGTGTATGCATCGGTCGCACTCGCAGAATCTCCGGATTTACCGGTCTGATTTGTGTTTATTCTCGATGCGCGGCGCGCTACGCAGTCGACTCGGTAAGCCCGTCGGAGGTCAATGACCATAGTAATCGACGCTAAAGGGTAACGGGCAAACGAATGGGAAGCATCGAGTAATGTCCGCACCGAAATCCCGTCGTTCCGTCGTCCGGGAGAGCGACGACGACGACGCCGACGCCGCCGCGTCGGCGGGACGTCGTGGAAGTTGGTCGTGAGCGCCGAAAGCTTTGTACTAACAGCACCGCCTCCAAACATCACCGACATCCGCTAATCATTTGCCACCGTCGTAGATCGTAGGCATATAGGACGCACCTGTGTACTAGTACCCGTACCAACGCCAATACCATGCGACCAATGCCGTTTACTAACTGTCGGGGTGCCGAGAACGGGCTTGCACACGAGGAGGGGCTGATGTCGACGCCGCGGACGATCGCGCTCTGATCGCGGAGACTCGCGAGATTGTTCACGCCGATGTTGGCTCGCGAATAGCTCCGCCGAATTTGTTGTTTCGCGTCGAGCGAGTAGCACAGCGAGAGGATAAGTCCGACGGGGTTTCAGTTTCAGCTGAATTTCACCGGACGAGGTCTCTCTCTCTCTCTCTCTCTCTCTCTCTCTCTCTCTCTCTCTCTCTCTCTCTCTCTCTCTCTCTCTCTCGGAAGTGGAGACCGCAGAGTCTCATTAATTTATTCCAGCATGACCAGCGTGTATAGATATAACCTCTTCATTTCGAAATTAATCGTAAATTTTGAGAGCCTTATTTTACATTCAAGTCCACTACTGATAAAGTGCACTCTACGCATTCTAATTTGGAGATTTTATTATTTATTTTCCTTTGTCACACACACACACACACACACACACACACACACACACCGTAAAACACCTTTTCAAACAATCTTTTAGATGTAGTTTTCTCTTCGAAAAGTGTCTACGATTATTCGTGCGGTATTTTATATTTTTGAACTCGCTTACGGAGTAAAGTAATATTTTGCCAATTCTCAGGCGAAACGACAAGTCTCTCGCAAACGATTACTCAAGATTACACGGTGCGTGCGCGGTCGAGTTTATCCGGAAATTTCCGAAAACGACTCGCACGCATGCACGTGTGTGTGTGTGTGTGTGCGCGCGCGTGTCGAAGAAAATAATTACCACAGCCGTTAACGATCCAAACTCGATCCCGGCCTCGCGTCGCGTCCCCCGCGGTGTAATCAGCCCGTGTCGGCACTCCCTCGGCGTGATACCACCAACACACACCATCAATGGCAAACCAAGCAGTAACCAAGAACCCAGCCAAACCCCTCTTAACCACCCCCACCCGTCGACCACCCCGACCCTTGCCCCCCACCCCCTATTGCCAAAGTACTGTCTTTACGACTAACTAGAGCACGTACTGTACGCTTCTCTTATTTGTGCACAGTTTTCCTGGTTTCTCCCGGCTTCGTATGCACACGAAGGGAGGCTCGCCAGTGGCCTTTATCGAATACCAAGACGTTCGCTACGCGGCCCAGGCGATGGCCACTCTCCAAGGATCCTTTCTCCTCTCCTCCGACCGGGGAGCGATACGAATCGAATATGCAAAGTCAAAAATGGCCGAGGTGGGCTTCACAAATCTCTGGTTCGAAGTAGGTTCCACTTTATGCTACGAATAGACCGCTACGAAGGACGCGGGGGCGGCTCTACGTGCGAGGGGAGATATAGGTGAGAGGTCCTTGCGCGAGAGCTCGTAGGACCGGTCTCGTGTTCGTTACCTGGGGAAAATCGGTTCGCGGGCTCGACGCGCGACGGCACGGTGCCAGGAGAGGGCATATAAGAGGAAGAAGAAATTCGGAGGGCCGGAGAGCCAAAGAAGCTTCTCTTCTCGCGTACGTGGCGCTCGCGATGGGGCAATCCAGAGCAATCCGGCGAGAGGGAGAGAGAGCCTACACGAGAGTGTTTATTGCGGTCATGCGAGAAGCTTGCGTACTTGAAGCCTCCGGAACACCCAGGGCTCTCGCTTACGCGCAGACCCTCTCACGGCACGAGTGTATTTACCGTGTGGTCTAACACGAGACCTTTTGCGCGCACACGTACATGTACACGCACTAGACACCCACACACCCACACACACACACACACACACACACACACACACACACACGCACGCACGTACGCACACGAGACTCTGGGTATTCATCGCTCGACGGTAGAGCCGCCTCTGCGAAGATGCGATCGACGACGAACACGCGGGGCTGTGCTTCCGGCGACACACCCCATCGAATGTGGACACCAGGTGGACGCGTAAATAGCGAAAGATTGACCACTTCGACAACATTATTCCGGGAGGAAGTTTCTCATTCGAACGATCGAACTCGCAAGAGGAACCGAAAGCAATTCATCAGAGAGGCTACGCAAGGCTATGAACGATACGAAAAGACCGAGACGCGGCAAAATCCGCTGGCTGAAATTGGCACGTGTGACGACGAGCGCGAGGTCGCGCTCGCTCACGCCTTTGCACATCTTGCGGAATCGATTGCGTCTTCTCGCAATCGCGCTGCGCTGTCGCAGCGTGCAAGGTCTACGGGTAGGGTACTCGTGACGTTTCACCGGAGCACAGCCGCACGTTCTCGTCCAAGGATCGAAGCCGGCGACGAATTTCGACGAGTTCGCAGAATCCCGACGGCGCGCGTGCGAGGCGAATTTTCCCACGTCCGTGGCGCCGGGAATCGTCCTCGGCGAATTTGCACGCGCAAATTCGGGTCCTTATTATTGTCATCGGCGCCAGCCGAGACAACGTCGGCCCCGGCGGATCCCGGATCCAATTAATTCGGTCATTATTCCGATCTAATCCGCACGGTTTCGCCCTCGAGAGAGCGCAGCGCGCTCGCCTCGAGACGACAGACGGACCGTCGCGCTTTGAAGGCCAATTAAATCCGGCTGAAGGGCCGACGACGACGACGGCCGTCCTGTCGAGGACTACGCCGCAATTCGGCCGTGCGCGGCCCGGATGCCAATTGTCAATCGGCAATTCTCCACCGCCTTGTTAATCGCCTGCCGGCCGCGCGAAAAGCCGGCGGTCATACGCGAGTCCTGTCTTTCTTTCGCTCTCTTTCGTTCTTTCTGCCTTTGTTTCGGTCTTTTTCTCCCGCCCTTGTCTCTCACCCAGTCTCCAGCCTCTCTTGTTCTTCTGCCGCTCGATCGGAGCCACCACGAGTGGTCACCCTGCGTTTCCTGGGTTATCCGGCTCTTCGATCCGGATTATTATTCTCTCTGCTCGATCTTCTCTCCTCCTTCCTCCGGGCTTCCATCCGCGGAGGGAGACGAGCTCCTCGGGAACTCCGAGGTGCTCGTCGATGCTCGACCAGAGACTACGACGGCGAAAACGAGCCGCGCGCGCGCGCGCGCGCGCGCGACAATAATAAAGATGCAAACGAGCGAGCCAAAAAACTACATCGAGCGGCGGAATTATACAGTTCCAGGCTCCATTTCTTTCGTCCCACTGTATAACCTGCATCTTCCCACGATCGATCGACTCCACTCGATCGACAAGATTCGTTCGTCTTCGGCTGCTCGTTCCTATGTGCATCCTACCCCCCCCCCCTCCCCTTCCCGTCCCTCACACTACCTACGTGAGATCCGTTTGTTTTTTTATCCTGTGTATGTTGATTTTTGCTGTATTTGTTTATGGTTTTTACGACTGTACCATATAGATGCATCGATGCACTATGCACCAACCATCCAACGTAGCAACGTTTACTAATTGGCTGTAATAACGCTTGGGACAAAATCGGGTTTGGAAGGTATACACATTACTATTATACTATTAAAAGCGATCGATTTTCGCCGTAAATTATCCTTTAGCGGCCTTTACCCGGTTCACAATTCATGATTCGTATTCGCGGCAGTCCGACGATCAAGCCTGTGTGCATATCAAAATTTCACTGGAAGCCAATCGCTTCTCTCTTTCTCTCTTACGTCATAGAGATTTTTTCCATACTTAAAAAAATAAAGATCTTTCGTAAAGCACGTAAAAGATTGCGAGTATGCAAATTTCTGTTTCTCTTTATTTTTCCTCTTTTGTCGGAAGAACGTGCGGACGATCAGAACGATTTGTTGCTTCAAAATTGATTTCGCCCTCGATTCGATACCGATCGACTTGAACAAAACGAGTCGGAGTCCGCATGATCGCGGCGGGAAGCCGCGCGAGGCGGAAAAAAAAAGAGAAGAGAACAAGTCAGACAGAACGATGACTCCGAGGTTCCGCTTTTAATCGAGGCCGTATTTCCGCCGATGAAGGAATACCTGTCGGACATTCAAGGATCGATTCCACTTACGTAATTTAAGGGCTGAACTAAGTTCAACTTGCAGGTTATCCGACCGTTAAAAGGATTGAACTAATTAATTAGCTAAGTAATTAAGCTGCATTAAATGAAGTTGGCGGAGTCGTTCATTTGGCCGAGATATGGTAGTGGTATTTCAGCGAGGCTCATGACAATGATAAGCATACGATTCGTGCGTGGCGGTCGAAGCCACGACGAAAGAAAGGGGGAAGTTTCGCATCTTCGGCTTCCGGCCGAACGGAGGAGGTTCTTTCGCGTGAAAACCGAGCGCGGTCCAAGGATCCAAAAGTCGCGCGAGAACGCGCGACTTTTCGCTGCAAATTTCGGGTGAAGGAAACGAGAAAAAGAGAGAAAAGAGCGAGATGCAACTCGCACCGATATAACCCGCCAGAGATATAAACTTAGCGATGACC